TATTAATGTCATCGGCAGCATCTTATTTTTAACAGTAGAATCGACAGTAGCTATGTGAGAAGTACTGCTCGCATTTTGCTGTTTCCCTTCCAGTCATTTATCAAAGTAGTACTCATTTATCAACCAGGGCTAGAATCCAGGACCTCTCGGTTCTGAGTTCGATGCAACAGTGATCGAGTGATCCCGGTCCGCAGCAGCGTGAGCGAATTCCTTACTCACTGGAATTTGTGGAAAAGACAAAATTTAGCCGCCGTGGGAATCGAACTCTGCACCTCCGAGTTCGAATTCGAAGCCGACTTCTTAAGCACCGTTATATTAGGCCAAACTGCGATTTACATAAGACCACCGATCCAAGATAATGAAATTTTGTTCATTTTTGTATTTTCTGAACAAAAACTAACATAACAGGTTTACCAGGTCTACCTAATCTTCTAAGACGTTTCGGTCTGTATCTCACTAACGTTCTTTACGCAAAGCGGCCTTCCAAATAAAAATAGCCAAATCATGTCAGTGAACAACTCTACCACATACACCACTGCTATACATGTATGTCGGTTAAAAATTCATCGATAAGTTAAAAATATTGCATAAAGCCGTATTTCATAAATTTCTGTTTCGTTGTAATAACTAAACTAAATTTATAAAATGTTTAATTCAAAACAACGTATCTTCTTTGTTAACGGATTGTCAGCAAAAGTAGGAGATACTGTATTTTACGAAGAATACGTTTCAGTCGAAAAAGAATATGCGACCTAACGACAACTATACCGGTTCCGCTTCCGTTGTGCTGAGTATCAAGTCGCTGCTGACAGCATCGATGAATCTTTAACTCATGACAAGACAAACGGAAAAAGAAACTGTGCTATTTAGGACGGGAAACAGCAACGACTGGAAAGTTAACAAGAAAAAGCGATAGACCTGACGTTGTTCAACCAAGTAAGCTGATGGCGCATAACTCCTTAAATACCAGGTTTCGGTGAGTACTACACCATCGGTTTGCTCCAAGTTGCTCAAAAGAACCTGCCTTCTAGGAAAGAAGGAAAATACGCCACCTTCTTCCTTCCCCTTCTCGAATGGGCCATTCGGTGCTTTACTTTTCGTGAAGTTGATGGTGCAAAGCCAGCAGTAAGAAGTGCCTTTTTTAAACGTAGAGTCTACAGCAACGTAGCAAGCGTAAGGTGTAGTCTGCTGTTTCCTTGCCACGGAGTGGTACTCATTTACCAATCACAGAGGGAAGAAGGAAGAGTGACACCGAACAGGACTTTAACCGGACTTTGTCGACAGAGCAACGCCGGTCTAAAGCAATGTGCGGTAATTTCCTTGCTCACGAGAATTCGTGAAGAAGATGGCTATTTGAACATGGCACATATTTCATCGGAACTGCTTAAATAACCCCTTATACAAGTCGGAATAAACGGCAGTGTTATATGGGTTGTCTGAAATCCGAAATATATCTGTATTGGAAAAGTTAGGCACCATTAAATATAGTCCAGGGGGACAAAATACTTCGCAATAATCTCAGATGGTGCTCAGATTCTAAACACGCGGGAATTCCAACCTTCGGTCGGCCATTCAATGAAAAGGGCGACCTCTAGCAGTAACGGAACTACGCTGACCTTCCAAAACCATAAACATTATTCTTGATTCATGGCTTAAGACAACAATCAGTAAGGATGATGTAAAACACTTCATGCACCGACGTAGTTAGACGCCACACAGCAACGTCATCATCACAGTAACAATATAACAAACTAACAGGAAACAGAGTAAATTAGAAAAAGAAACATCATTACAAACCGGGAATATACACGTTTAATAAGTGAAGCTTTCGAAACCCAAAACGATGTACCTTCTTCAGCACAAGCTAATAATGCACAGACAAGATGTCGTAGTAAGGTGGAACAAAAAAATAATTAAAACATTTCAATGAAGAGATACCAGCAAACTTCGTCTTTACCGGACGTAAACCTTGATGAAAAGGAAGGAGGGTTGGAGACCGTGGAGAAAATTTCGTCAGACTCAGCCACCTGCCACTCATGGTACTACCGTCTTCGAAAATTATACCGGCTCGGTCGCCGCC